ACTGAGCATGTGCAGATTGCCTCCTATTGCTCTGTACTCTCAGCAGATGGATTGGGGAAGAAGAGGAGAATCAGAGAAGACAGGATTAAACAGCCTTTTTACACAATGCTGAGGATTAACCCTGTAGTTTCCACAGTGAGTATGACGAGCATACTTTACTGCACATACAGACTGATTTAACTGTTGTGGGTTTAGTAATACTTCAAAGGTATATTTGATAGAAATCAAGACATTTAGAAACAGAAATATTATGCATATTAAAGAATGGTTTTCGTTCTGGCATGCACATTCTGCGCCTGGTTGTCCTGCTGGCTACTATAATTGCAGGTTTTGTTTTGGCAGTGAATTTAGAGCTTTGAAATATTGGCCAGTGTGTTCCTGCACTAGTCCTTTTCTGAACCAAAAACTTGCCTAGACACATCGGGTATAAGAGGTTACACACTATGAAAACATGTGTTGAGCGTTTTTTTCAGAACAAAACTCCTTTCCAGAATCAGTCTGAGAACTGAACTTAGCTGCATGAGATCACATTAAAGATCAAAATGTAGACTGACAACTTTCTCACCTTAAAGCAAAATATGCTGACTGTACAGAGGTAACTTCAGCAACTGTGCTAAGGTTTTAATAGACTGGGAAAGTACTGCTGTCAAGTTGTAATTGCTCTGAGTAGAATTCTCCCATATTGATATGCCCTGGTGACTTCTGTCACCCCAATAGGGACATGAACAAAAATAAGGACCTTCAAGGAAAAAGAAAAATGTTTGAGGAAACTTGCAATCAGTACACTGTTTCTGGACTTGTGCAACTTTATGGTGCACTCACCTTTCTGGTTTTTTGCTTAAAGCTTCCAGTTCAAAGACCACTTCATGGTCATGGCTTCTCAGAAAGCTGTCCTACACATTTTGAGCACCTCTGTACTCTTTTAGACACTTTACTAAAGTTTGGGTTTAGCGTGTGCATTGCCTGACGCGCCATGTGTGCTGATACTCTCCCTAGTAGCTCCGGACTATCCTCCAACAATCCTGCTCCATCCTGATTGCCCACAATTGCAGTATGGCTCGTTTTGCCCCTGACTTGTTGGGGAACATTGCTACACTCCTGAATGATGGCTCAGTGGATGGGAAGAGATTGCAAACAACCTCTGGCCAAGATTAGCCTTGACACTCGCTCCTGCCAAGATGGTGCCATGCTCCACTCTGGAGTTCGGGGAACTGCCAGAGGCCTCCCCCACCCTCTACTCCTGCCGCTCTGGATCCACCAATGCTGCTCTCTCAGACTTCCCCTGGCGAGGATGGCATGAAAGAGGCCGCAGAGCCCACCCTGTCGGATGTCCTTACTACTATTAAGGTAAATCACTCTTATCTGATGGGGAAGGTGGAGAAACTCAAACTTGATCTCACCATTATGCACCAGGACATGCATAAGGTTTGTGAGTGGGTGTCAGCTACTGAAAGGCGCATTAGTAATTTGGAGGATGTGCTTAACCCTCTCCTGCCTAAAGTTAATTCATACAGGGGTAAAGTTAAAGCTCTGGAAGATAAGGTGGATGACTTGGAAAATTGCTACCCGCAGAAACAACTTGCGGTTTGTTGGCCTGCCTGAAAGAGTGTAAGCATCAAACCCGGTGGCCTTCCTGGAGAGCTGGCTGGAGCAGGTATTTGGCCATGACTGTTTGTCCACCTGCTTTGTGATTGAAAGAGTCCATAAAGTTCCAGGTAGGCCTCTTCCTGAGGGTAGCCCCCCTCATACCATGGTAATTTTGCCTTCTAAACTACACAAACAGAGATTAAATTCTTACGCAATTCAAGTGCGCATTTAAAGCTGATAATTCCAGGGTCCTCATATGGATCTGGTCAGATCTGGTCACAAAAGCCTCTCGCCACCTTTGTTAGTAAATCTTGCCAACTTCAGCTCACATGACCCAGAGAGAGACCGTGCGACCTGCAGGAAGGATCAAAGTGCCAGCTGTAGATACTTGTGTTATCCTGATGAAACTTTCTCTGATAGGGATTAGTGCACCATGCAGACAGCACACCCTTCCTTGTTATGAGACACACATCAGGAAGAGGAAGTGCTCTTCCTCTTCCTGATGTGTGTCTCATAACAAGGAAGGGTGTGCTGTCTGCATGGTGCACTAATCCCTATCAGAGAAGTTTCATCAGGATAACACAAGTATCTACAGCTGGCACTTTGATCCTTCCTGCAGGTCGCACGGTCTCTCTCTGGGTCATGTGAGCTGAAGTTGGCAAGATTTACTAACAAAGGTGGCGAGAGGCTTTTGTGACCAGATCTGACCAGATCCATATGAGGACCCTGGAATTATCAGCTTTAAATGCGCACTTGAATTGCGTATCTGGTGAGTGCGCAATTCTTATCTTTATCACCTCATCCACGAATCCAGGGATTGGAGCTCTTTAAGGACTCTCTTGGATTTTTGAGCACGCTACGGACTATACTTGTCATTTAGTCACCGTTTTGCACTTTAATAGCACTTTATATCAGTGTATATTATTTATTAAGTATATAAGTGTATATCTGTTCAGCTAGCGCTGCACCTCTCCCTCGTATGCATTTCTTATTATGAAGGTTTATATGGTACCTTTTGGTGTTCAGCTGCTTTCTTCTTATTTATTCATTTTTATTCACTAATTGATTTTATTAGTTGTTTGAAGCGCTCACTTATTCTGAGATTTAGAGATTAAATTCTGCGTGCTGCTCATCTGAAAGGGAGCCTTTGCATCAACAATGTGGTGGTATCCCTTTTTCCCTGATTATTCAACTGAGGTCTGCAACCTCAGGGCCAAATACCAACATGTCAAGCAGAAGCTCCGTGAGGGTGAAATACTCTATGCCCTTCCCTGCTACTCTGTGTGGTTCATGGAGGCCAAATGCATTCCTTCTAGTCCCCTGATATGGTGCTGCCATGGTTTGAGTCCCTGCCACGTCCAGCCAGATCTCCTTCCAATCCCCCGATGCCTGGATGTTTTTGCCGAAGATTCATCGTGCCTACAAGCAAGCTTTTCCCTATCTTTTAGATGAGCGTTCATTATCACTCACCCGGCAATTTGGATTTCTACCTTTCTGGTTGACTGCTACTATAGGGTTCTATGTTTTTGTATTCCTGTTCCACTGTTTTTCCCCTCTTTTTTTAACACTGTTTCTACCTTTTGGACTGTTTTTGGGACTTCAGGTCATGTTTCCCAAGAGTGACCTCAGTTTTGGGATAAAGCCCACTGTCTCTTTTTTTTTTTTTTTTTTTTTTTTTTTTTTGGGAGCTGGTCTGGGGCTTTGTTTATTGCACTGTTGCTTTTCTGCCTTGCTTTGTGTGTGGTGTCTCTGTTTTGTGGTTGTTTTGTGTAGATGTGCGCCATCTCCCCTCGGTAGTATTGCAGTCGTGCTGGGGCCTGTAGCCGGCTTCCTGGGCCCTGTTGCTCCCCCCCCCCCCCACCTACTTAATCTGTCTGTTTTAGTCAATGTCTTCTGTAAAGTTCTTGTCCTGGAATGTCTGTGGACTGAACTCTAAATTTAAAAGGGCCTCTGTCTTTGAGCTCCTTAAATCCCACACTCCCCACCTACTATGTTTCCAGGAGACTCGCTTAATGGAATCCAAGATTCTGTCCCTTAGTAAACATTGGTATTACATGGATAGCACTCTACCTATTCTAATTATGCCTGAGGGGCATCTGTGTTGATTCGTAAAGGGTCTTCCATTTTCCTGTTATAGGGTAATTCTTGACCCTAAAGGGCATTATGTCATTCTACTATGCACGATACATCGTGTTTCACTAATTCTGGTAGCGGTCTACTTCTCCTGCCCCCCCCCCCCCCCCAGTTGCTGCTGCAGTATTTACTGAACTGACTATCCATTTATCTACATTGCCTTTTTTAGCTACTATTATTATGGGATACTTCAACTCAGTCCTGAATCCAACATTGGACCGGTTGAGGCCTCTCTCCTAGGACTACAAATTATTTCGGCAGTGGTGCGACTCCTATCATTATGTTGATATTTGGCGATGGAAATTTCCTACAGCCAGGATATATTCTTGTTAGATTTTTTTTTTGTTTTGTTTTGGATAGAAAGTAGAGGGATTATAATGCTTGTCAGGTGGTTTGTTTGGTTTTTTTTTTTTTAGTTTTTTTTAATTGCTGTCTCTGCCCACGTCAATTCAGTTCATCCTCTCTATTTGTCCTGTTTACCATTATCGGTGAAAGTAAAAGAAAATCCCAAATTTTGGGTTGTCCCCAGAAACGTAATAGGGGAGAAGTCTTCCAATGGGGACTCTAGTTTTGGTGACTTGGGGGTCCCCAAGGAAATTCCCTTTATTTGCAGGGATTCCCTGTCCCTTCCTGTTTGCCTCTTGGACAGGAAGTGAAGGAAAACCTTCACAATGGGACACAGATGGTGAAAAAAAAAGAAAAAAAAAATTTGACAGGGGTCATAGCCCTCACTTGCTCTATCCAAAATGACAAAAAAAAAGTTTTGCACATAGTTCTACTTTAACAAATGTTCACATTTATGCCACAGTTATTATAATTTGGGTGAGATCTTACCACTATGTCATGTTCATGGTACCATGCTTTACTGGCTGACACACACACACTATATAATATAAATATTGTGTGTATATGTTTTTGCTAACATCCATGGAACAAATGTATGAGAGGCTTTAAGTGCATCCAATAATATAGATCTAGCAGAGGTGTGTGTGTGTAATATTACTTTCATTGTTACATTATTTTTTTTTTTTTTGGCTACTTCCATCATTTGAAAATAATTAACTTCATAGTCATAACGACACTATTACCTGTACACTATGGACTGTAATTAAGTACTAACTAATTACATCTGTATTTCAGCATTCCCGTTGTTTAGCTCATGAATGGATACTGCCTTTCTTTACACTAATATCCATTTTAGGAAATGCTGATTAAATGTATCCTTAGGCTCCAATCTTGTGACACTGAACTGATGACATCTCTTTGCTTTGTTCTCTAAGATGCCAGGATAGAAGAGTTTGTCTATGAGAAGCTTGACAGAAAAGCTCCAAGTCGCTTGAATAATCAGGAGCAGCTGGCCCAGTACTTGATTGATGCAGGGAACGAATTTGGTCCAGGAGCAGCATACGGTGAGTATGTGTGATGGCATTCAAAGAAGGTTGCACAGCTGGAATAAAGAGCTGAGTCCCACACAACATATGCTATAAGATTGTCAGCTGTGATGCAATTTCATTAGTAAAATCCATATATTTCCATTTAGCTAATTTTAGTTGTGTTTATCATTCTGGTGTGATGAGTAACTGTGGTTTTCTTGTCTGTCACATTTGATGCTGTATTGCAATATAACTTGGGGCTGTCTAATGTCTTTTCATTATTGATTGTTTTGTAAAAGCTTCATGATGAATATTTATGGCCACTTGATTCTTTGTTGGAAGACTTCCAGCTCAATTGGTCTACTACATCAGCAAGCAAGTTTTTATTTTATATATAGTGCATTGGCATTTCAACAAAATATTACATAATTATGTAAAAGCACTGAGACCTGAAATCTGCATTAAAGTGTTTTTCATTTCAAGAAAAGCCCATCTGTGTTGATGTAGCTGCTGACTTTTTTTTCCCAAGAGCCACAGTAGGCTTATTGACCTACTCTTACTGGAAACATTTAAAGAGAGAAATATGTTGGCTACAGTTTTTTTTGAAGATGCCTAACTGACATGCTAAGCCTAGGCCTTCGTTACTTTGTGTCATTGACCTGGTCCTATCCAATGTAGTCTGAACTTCTAATCTGGATGCTTGTTCTGTTTTAGTGACTTGGTGAAATACTAAAGTCATTAGATCAGAATAACAGCCAGACAACTAGCATTTTCAGTAGAAGTGGTGAACAATGGCAGCCTCCCATGTTTCTCACAGTACAGGTTTCCTCCAACATTGAACATACTCCGTCTGCAGTGATTTTCAGAACTTCAGAGACCTCAGTGTTCCATTGTGCTTTAAAATAAACTGTGCTGAGAGCAGCATGTAAGCTACCATTGTTGAATTGGAAATGCCAGATTTTTAAAGGATTGATATAGCGCCCACAGTTTGAGCAGCACTTTACAACATTAGGGCAGGCTGTACATTTTCAATACAGGAGGAATCAGAGGGCCCTGCTCATTAGAGCTTACAATCTAAAAAGGGAGGGTCAAGTGATACAAAGGGTAATAACTGTAACTTCCAGGAAAACTAGCAATTGCAAAAACAACCTGTGTGTTCCTTCCGAAGTACAAATATATAATAATTTCTCTTGATGATTCGTTCATTGACCATAACAAAACTGTCTTGGAGCAGGAGGACACATTCCATGGAGTCTGCTTATATATTTCAAATTTAATTTGTAGTAGCAAAGAAAGAAAATTTGCAGAGGACAAAGACGGGATTTCACTTAGGCCCATTCACACTTGAACGGTTTCCAGCTTGAAACTTGACACTCATAAATGCTCAACAAGGAAATTCCCATTCATTTCAAGGGCCCCTGTTCACATATGAACGTTTTGTTCCCTGCAGCAAAACACCTTTCACTCAGAATAGTACATGCTCTCCTGATAGGCAGATTTGAGCATTTTTGTCCCCATACATTTGAATGGAAAACACCTGAATAGCAAGAAATTAGAATTTTTTTTCCAGTGTTTTTTCAGGTGCTTTCAGCTCAAACAGCAGCTCCCCTCCCCTTTTCTAGCATCACTCCACACCTTAAAAACACACATCTTGTGATCGAAATGGAGGAGAGTCTGCTTTTGGAAGCTGAAACATTTACTGCTCTCATTTGTGGCCACCCCTTCATCTATGATTCCAGGGATCCCCATTATAAGAACCACCAGAGCCTTGGAGGAAACCTGCTGCCCTAGTGAAACATTTACACTGCTCCCCAGATCAAGGAGAAAGCTACAGAACTTGTGTGTACAGCAGCCATGTGCTTGATTATGCTTTTCCTGTTGTATGTGCCTAGGACACATCTACACAGGTTTCTATTGGTCACAGCAAAAACACATCCTTTAATATTTGCAAATCTGCTCAAAAACGCCTGAAAAAAAATGCCTGAAAACGCTCAACTCAGTGTGAATGTAGCCTAAATACATGTACAACAGTGACATTAAAACAATACTCCATTGGTTATGTCTAATTATAGTAAAATGATAGCATTATGTCTGACCAATTCTTTGATAATGAAAATTAAAAATTTTTGTTATCGAATTATGTTGATTAGTTGTTTCAGCCCTATATCATGATGGTTTATTTTTATACGTGTTTTCTCTTGTAACCTAAAATGTAGCCATGCCTATAGGAGAAAGAACTCTGAGTCTTATCAGAGTTTGAAGAAAGAACTAATCATGATAAATGAAGAGATAATCTGGTTACTATGTGCAACAAAAACAGAACTTCATCTGGACCTTTTATAGATGTAAAGAACATTGATTCCTCATACTCGGTGCAGGGTATGTGGACATTGGGATTTAAAAGTGTATGTAAACTCGAAAGCTATTTTACCATGTTTGACATCATGTCTGAGTATATAAAGTTTTTTATTTAGCCAAAACTTTGTGGATATATTGAAAAGTTGCCAGTAACAGCTCGTCCAGTTTTGGGCTGATAAGCTGCTGCCTTGCAATTGTTAGCAACAGTTGGCTGTTGGGCTGTCTCTCAAGCCTACCCATGCTTCCTGCAGACCTGATAGATCAATGGCCAGCAGAAAGAGAGCATGCAGCAGGCCTCCGATTCTGAGAATACAAAAATTTCATTTTGGGTTTACATGTACTTTTATTCAAAAGAATGACTTGTCCCTGCTCTCAAAGCCTCCTGGAATACTAGCGTTACCACAAGGGGTTGTAGGTGTAGGATGCAGAGTTTGTGAAGTTGGCGAAGAGGTAGCTGGCCAACAAGGACCAAGATGGTGGCATAGGACCCCAGCTGTGGGTTGCAGAATGACAGCACTGGATCCTTTGGGCAGTCGAATATGTTGACCTAAGACATGCCAGCCTAACAGGCATGGGGGCTTAAAATCACATGAAATGGTAAAAGGCCAATCACAGCGGCCTTTTGCCACATGATCAGCTGCGTCCAATGACACAGCAGATCACCAGGTAAATGCAGTTGCTGGTTGTCGGCTGCACTTTCAAGTACTGTCGAGAACTGGCAATTGTCAGTAAAGAGATCGGCACTGATGATCACAGTTCCACCCATCAGTGCAGCACAATCAGTGCGGCCTATCAGTGCAGCCTTATCAATGCTCATCGGTGAAGGAGAAAAATTACCGGTTTGCAAAATTTTATAATAGAAACAAAGAAAAACTTTTTTTTTAAATTTCTTGCTCTTTTTTTTTTTTTGTTTATAGCGCAAAAAAAATAAAACACCCAGTGGCAATTAAATACCACCAAAAGATTTCATACGGGTACAATGATGCATGACTGCGCAATTGCCATTCAAAATGTGACAGCGCTGAAAGCTGAAAATTGGCCTGGGCATGAAGGGGGTATATGTGCCCGGTAGGCAAATGGTTAAAAATTAAAACGGCAGTACAGGACATATGCTATAGTTGGCTGCATGAACACCTGTATATTACAGTCTTAAATGTTTGCAAGAACATCATTTACTCATTGCATACAATGCTGCCTGTGTGTGTGTGTGCATGCATTTCAGTGGAAGCCTTATTTATATTTGTCTTCCAGGAAATGCTCTCATTAAATGTGGAGAAACGCAGAGACGAATAGGAGGAGCTCACCGGGAACTTGTACAGACTGGAGCAATTAACTTTCTCACTCCCTTAAGGAATTTTATAGAAGGAGATTATAAAACAATATCTGTAAGTATGGGAAGGTGTGTGTGTGTTGCAAGTTATTTTTCTCTATAGCATTTGAGAACATTTAACATTTTTCTAACTTGTTGTGAATGAGATGTAATTATAGGGCTTTTACTCGCTTACCTAAGTACCTCAGTAGCACACCTAAAATATGGGGTTGTTTGCAAAGGTCCGGGTCATTTGAATTTAAAGTAGAAGTCACTTTTAGATATAATGAAAAGGGTCAGAAATTCTGTCCCCATTCAGGAGATTTCTCTTCACTTCCTGTACCACAGATGTGTTAGAAAGTTTGTGAAAATCCCACCCTTGACCTTGATTTTCATTCTCTCCTGTTATGGTGACAACTATAACATTTGTAATTTCTTTTTCTGTCTTGTTAGCAATGGTCACCTTTACCAAATTTAAAAGTTATAAAGGTTACTAGTTAATTTAGCTAATTTTTCTAAATGGTAGTAGGAAAAACCAGCACTGTTGGGAAAGTTCACATCTGCTTGTCTAGGAGCTTTTCAGGTGTTGGATGTGCATTACATCTTTCATATGCCTTACCACTGAACCATGTAACACACATTTTACTTAACCACCTCCCGCCTGCCATATAAGGAATTGACGGGCGCAAGGTGGTTCACTCGTTCTGGGGAGGACGTCATGTGCACGGCTCCTGGAGCGGCGATCGGCGGTGCGATGTGTCCCTCGGACACAGCGGATCACCGATCAACGGAAAGAGCCGAAGATTTCAGCTCGGTCATGTGATCAGCTGTGTCCAATGACAGCTGATCTCATGTAAATAGGGAAATGCCAGTTATTGGCATTTCTCTCCTCACGAGCTGTCACGCTGACAGCTCGAGAGGAGAGGAGAGCCGGTAATCTGCATTCCTCAGAGGGGATTTGTACACTGATCATCAGGGCACTGATGATCAGTGTGCCCTGATGATCAGTGTAGCCCCAGCATTGCCTCCTGTCAGTGTCCATCAATGCCAGCTATCAGTGCCACCTGCCAGTGCCCATCAGTGCCACATCAATGCCACATATCAGTGCTCACCTGAGCTGCCTTTCAGTGCCACCTATCAGTGCTGCCAGTCAGTGCCGACTATCAGTGCCCGTCAGTGTGCTGCCTATCAGTGCCATATATGAGTGCTGCCTTTCAGTGCAAATCAGTGATGCCTGTCAATACCCATCAGTGCCACCTACCAGTGCCTCCTATCAGTGCCCATTACTGCAGCCTCATTAGCGCATATCAGTGGAGAAAAATCACTTATTTACAAAATTTTAAAACAAAAGCTTTTTTTTTTTGTTTTTCAAAATTTTCAGTTGTTTTTGGTTTGTTTAGCAAAAAATAAAAAAACCCAGAGGTAAATACCACCAAAGGAAAGCTCTATCTGTCTAAAAAAAAATAACAATTTCATATTGGTACAGTGTTGCATGACCACGCAATTGTCATTCAAAGTGCAACAGCGCTGAAAGCTGAAAATTGGCCTAGGCAGGAAGGGGGTATAAGTGCCCTGTAGGCAAGTGGTTAAAGTGAATGAATGGTAGTTTTTAAGATTCTTTTTTTTTTTTTTTCCGTATTGGAAAAACATTTTGAATTTCTTTTTAATATAGATAATTTACAAAATGGAGACAGAGAGTTAGACTCTAAACCCGAAAAACACCTTTCTTAGAGCTCAGGTAACAAGTGTTCTTTGAAACAGATATGTAAGGTGCATTTCCAGCTTTTCAAATTGTGACTCAGAGGATGGGCAGTGAGTTAAGGGTCCGTTATTAAAACATAACATGTAAAATTTTGTTTTGGTTTGCTTTTACTTTTTGATTAAATATGGAATATTCAATTGTTTATCTTATGGAATACCTGTATTTCCTACGTGCAAGTTATAAGATTTTCAAAGACAATCACGTGATCCCCAAAACTCAATGGGGTTGTTATCTAACCTGGACACACAAATTGCTGAACATGTACCTACAATTTCCAAAGTTTCTTTTTCTATCTGCAAGGTCAGTTATCGCCTCCTCGAGACAAGGGCAATACTTGGCATCCATAGACATCTAAGATGCCTGTCTGCATATTTCTATTTACCCACCTCGCTTTCTGTGCTTTGTAGAAGGAGACAAACCCTTCCAGTTTGTCGTACTGTCCTTTGGCTTATCCTCAGCTCCCAGGGTATTTCCAAAGATACCTCCACCTCTTCTTTCCCTCTTAAGGACTTCAAAACAATGCTTGAATGAGAAGGAAGGTGAACCAGGTGTCCAAAATAATTCAACTCTTGTTTGGGTAATACAGTTCTTTATTGAAAGTGTGAGAACGTACAGGACCAGCCAATGCATTTCGGGGGAATTGCCTTTCCCTTCTTCAGGGCTGTTGGTACTTGCTAACAGAGATGGATTGAATCTGCAGTACTACGAGAATTTCTTGTGATGGCAAATGTCGGCTTGTGTAATGCAGAGACAAAAGAGCCTTTCTTTATCATACATCATGAGAGAGAGAGCAGGCTATTCATGACTATTTGGGCTACATGCCACCTATAGCTGAATGGACACTGGCAGATCAATTAAACAGGCAGCCCTCCCCTATAAAACCCCTCCTACACAGGAAGTACTTCAGTTTTTTCACCAGTGTCTGTAAGGTGGATGGTCACTGATGTGCTATATGTGCTCTTACTAGCATACCTGGAGGACCAAAATGGTTCTGTGAATCGGATTCATTCAGAAAACTTCTAGCTAAAATGGATGGTGCCTGAGCCTCTTTGGATAACAGAGAAAAATCCTCAAGGTTTGCCTGTAATGCAGCCTTACAACGGTGGACCCTGCATAATGGAACCCTATGCAGTGTTTGTTCTGACCAAAGTACTTTCCAACAGGCTGCTATACAGGTCCAAAGGGGTGGACCTCAGATGTAAGAGGGAACTGAGTCCTTGTATGTATAATCTGGCTGTGTTCGCATTTCACGATAGACCAGTGATGACAGTTGTATCTAGTCCACTGCTTTTGTCTGGCATATAAGCTATTCCTGGTGGTGGAGCTGCAATGGACTACGGCTGCGTCACCCTGAACACGTCTGATCTTATCTGAACTCAGAAGCAAAGCCGTGTCAGCCCTGGTTAGTACTTGGATGGGAGACTTCCTGGGATGACCAGGTACTGTAAGCTTTTTCTCCTCCAGAGACTGAGGCTGCTGTTTTTGTGTCTCAGCAGAGGATGCTAGGGCAGTCTGAGGTGCTTTGTTCCATCTTTAGCGGCAGAAACCTAATAGGTTAAGTACACCTCTTGGGACCTTCTGGGTTCGCCATAGAGTTATCGGGCTTTGTCTTGTAATTTTGCTTGGAGCAGTAGTTATGAGCACATTATTGTAAGACGCTTGACCAGTTTGTGTGCCCAAAACTAAATGGGAACGTGAGGTCTATCTTCGGTCTCTAGGCACAAAACGTCTAAATGTCCTTATGAAATGAAGCCTTGACTATTGAAGCCCAGGTCTGGAAGGATCAGGTGGTCTTGGGTCCTTTTTTTCTCCGCATTGTCGAGCACCAGGAAACCAGCTTCAGGGAGCTTCTGTTACAGGACCTTGAAATCTTATTTGCCTGGTGTGAAGCCAGGAAGTGGCACCTGTGGAAATGTGTGATTTGAAAGGTTTTGTTTTTTTTATGTCCTTTTATTTCCATTTGGGAGGGGAAGTTAAATTGGCCTTAAATACCAGATTTCAGTTCTGTCCATTTGAGGCTGTTGTTTCTCACGCCTTGATTCCTACTTTGTGTAAGGTGGATGGCCCCACCTGTCAGGCTGCCTTTGTATCCTTGGGACTTGAACTTGGTCTTGGCTGTCCTTACAGAAGACACCTTTTAAACCAATCTAAGACATTAATCCTTTGACTCGGAAGATGTTTTTTTTTTAGTTACTATTACTTCGGCAGGAAGAGGGTCAGAGCTGGCTGCTCTTTCATCATAAGGTGATGTTGCGTCCTCATCCATCTTCTTGCCTAGAGTGGTTTTTAGTTTTCATTTGAATCAGAACAGTATCTTGCCTTTCTTTTTTAACAGTCTGCAGAGGAAAAATTGCTGCATATCCTGAATATAGTTTGCATGGTCAGGATTTACTTGAATTTGCCAGGATTGGTCAAGAATCCTGGTTTGTGCTGCCAGAAGACCCCAGGACTGGCAGGCGACATCCAGGTCAACTATTTCTTATTGTATCTGCAAATTAATCATTCAGGCCTATGGTTTGAAAGGGCAATTTTCCACCCTTTCGGGTGAGAACACACTCTACCAGGAGTGTGTGGGCATCTTGGGCTATCCACCATCAGGCGTCAATGGCTCAAGTTTGCAAGTCCGTTACATGGTCTTCAGTTCATACATTCACAAGGTTTTACCAGGTGGATGTCCGAGCCACGGAGGATTCTGCCTTTGGCTGCAGCTTGTCACGTATGGTTGAGTAGGTCCTTTGGGATTGATGATGGTGTAATGGTGTCACCCATCCCTCAGATTTTTTTTTTTTTTTTTTTTATTGCTTTAGGATATCCCATATAGTCATGAATAGTCTGCTCTGTGTCCGATGATGTACTACATACTTGCCTGTGAAATCCATTTCTTGGAGTACATCACGAGACAGTGGTTCCTGCCCCTCTTTCTGGAATTTCATTGCTTGCTACAGAGACTGAAGTACTTCCTGTGTAGGAGGGGTTATATAGGGGAGGACTTCCTGTTTTATTGATCTGTCAGTGTCCATTCACTTACAGTGCATCCAGAAAGTATTCACTGCGCTTAACTTTTGCCACATTTTGTTATGTTACAGCCTTGTTCCAAAATGGATTAAATTCATTTTTTTTCCTCAACATTCTACAAACCATACCTCATAATGACAATGTAAAAGAAGTTCGTTTTGAAATCTTTGCAATTTATTAAAAATAAAAAACAAAAAAAAACACATGTACATAAGTATTCACTGCCTTTGCCATGACACTATTTATTATTATTTACAAAATAATCTACAGTAGGTGACTGTGGACAAAAAGGCAAATTT